GTTAGACATTTCATTTTTTCCACCTTTTTCATTATTGTGAAAGGCGCTACAATGAACATTGGTTTCTGTTTGCATTCCTGCCTTTACTTCTTCACTTCATTACCTAGGATTGGGATATTTGGGTCATATGGTAATTCTATTTTCAACTTTTTGAGGAACTGCCAAGCTGTTTTCCACAATGACTGTACCATTTTATCTTCCCACAAGCAATGGATGAGGGCTGCAGTTTCTCCACAACCTCACCAACACTTGTTTTTTGTATTCTTGCTGATTGGCATTCTAATGGGGGTAAGGTGGTATTTCATTTTGATTTTGATTTGCATCTCCCTAATGGTTAATGATGGTGAGCATCTTTTCATGTGCTTGTTAGCCATTTGAATATCCTCTTTAGTGAACTGTCTGTTCAAATACTTTGCCTATTATTTGATTGGGTTGTTTGTCTTTTTGTTTTTAAGTGGTAGAAGTTTTATATATTTTTTGGGTATTAGACTCTTTTCTGATATATGGTTTCTGGAATTTTTCTCCCAATCTGTAGGTTGTATTTTCACTTTATTGATAAAATTCTTTGATGTACAAAATTATTTAATTTTTATGAGGTCTCATCTATCTATTTTGTGTTTTGCTGCACCAGCTTTTGTTATCATGTCTGCTAATCTATCGTTAAACACTACATTTCACAGCCTCACTCCTACATTTTCTTCTAAGGATCTTATAGTTTTAATTTTTACATTTAGGTCCTTGATCCATTTTGAATTGGTTTTTGTGTATGGTGTGAGGTATGGATCCTATTTCATTCTTCCTAGTGTGGAAATCCAATTTTCCCAGAACCATTTAATGAAGATGTTCTTTCTTCCCCATTGAATGGACTTAGCACCCTTGTAGAAAATCAGTTGACTGTAGATGTATGGATTGCAATTGACTTTAATAACAAATTTATTGATTCAGTCAACAAATATTTGCAGATTATTGGCCTGCTCTGAGCTGTGAACAGACAGTGTGTCTCTGGCCTCATTATGTTTATACTTTAGTGGAACATCTATCAACTAACTGCTAAATAAGTTAGGAAGTCGCTTCCTTTAGAACACTGGTCACTTAGTACCTAGGAATTATATCTACTTGCATCGGGCTGGTGTTGGACTCCTACTCTAAATGCTCTGGGTAATTGTTCCAGGTTTTATGCAATGGGAACTGAATGGGGAAGAGGACAGGGTAAAATAGGGAAAGTGGGGTTGGGGAGTGCCTCACTATCTTTAACAGATTTGGTCTGAACCAAAAAAGGTTTTTCTATTACTTGTAAGTTGAGGTATCTAAGATATTTTAAGCAACTTGTTGTAATACGCGCATTGGCTGCCTTTTCTGACTTTTATTAGTATACGCATTCCATGGTTCTAGAGACCAGTGTTTCCCATACCTGACTGAACACAGAATCATCTGAGGAATAAGTTAATAAACAGAATCCCATCCTTGTGTTAGTCACTTGAATATTTTTCATCCTCTGCATCTCATCTATGTATTTCCCATTATTTCTACCACCAGAAACCCATTAAAGATGTGTTGATTGGAAAACAAACAGAGATTCCCAGACACCATTCCAACAGATTCTGATTCAGTAGTGTGGAGAGGGACCTATGAATCTGTACTTCAATATTGTTTGTGATTCTGGTACAATCAGTCCATGGAATAGGCATTTGCAAACTGTCTATATGTGTGCCAGTGTTCATGCACCTTTCAGAATACCCTAAGTCAAAGTGGTTTTGCTTTTGTTTTGTCACAGTTCTAACACTTTGGTTTTCTGCTTTTCAGTGACTTACAAAGTGTCCAGTATGTAATACCAAACCAAAAAAAAAAAATCTCTAACTTGTTGCCATCAAGTAGATTCCGACTCATAGCGACCCTATATTGGACAGAGTAGAACTGCCCCATAGGGTTGCCAAGGAGCAGCCGAGCTCTTAAAACATCGTGCCACGAGGGCTACCCAGTATGTAATAGGTATTTTGAAAAGTTTTTTGAATCGTATTGAATTGAGTCTGGTTTTCTGCTATCTCAATTAGTTCTCCGCTTAACACCATAAATAACGTGTGCAGACGAGGAGGCTAAATCTCACAGGAGTTACAAAACTTGGCCAAAGTTACACAGCTAATAGTGGCAGAACCAGAATAATACGAAGACCTCTCTTATTCCATGCTTTTATACTTTTAGCTAGTAAGTCGGGAGTTGTCAATAGATGTCATAACACTCAGTTGTATTGCATTTTACATGTGATTTGTTAGTGGTTAAATAGCTGAAGTTCGTAAAAGATTTAATTTCGAAAAATAAATTAGATTTGTGTTATGGATTGAATTGTTTTCCCCAAAAATGTGTGTTAACTTGGCTAAGCCATGATTCCTGGTACTGTGTGATTTTCCACCATTTTATCATCTGATAAGATTTTCCTATGTGTTATAAATCCTCTCTCTCTGACGTTAATGAGGCAGGATTAGAGGAAATTATGTTAATAAGGCAAGACTCAGTCTACAAGATTAGGTTGTGTTTTGAGTCAATCTCTTTTGAGATATAAAAGAATTGAGTAGAGAGACCGGGGGACCTCCTACCACTAAGAAAGTAGCACTGGGAGCAGAGCGTGTCCTTTGGACCCAGGGTCCCTGTGCTGAGAAGCTTCTAGACCAGGGAAGATTGATGACAAGGGCTCTCCTCCAGAGCCAACAGAGAGAAAGCCTTCCCCTGGAGCCGGCGCCCTGAACTCAGACTTCTAGCCTCCTAAACTGTGAGAGAATAAATTTCTCTTCGTTAAAGCCATCCAGCTTGTGGTATTTCTGTTATAGCAACACTAGATAACTAAGACAATTTGATTCAGGATTATTCCCAAATAATAGCACTGTGCCCCATTTAGTTGCTTATGTGCATTGTTAAAAAGGAAAGAACATGGTGGTGTAAGACCACAGGAAGTTGAAGCACCACGTTGGCTGTACCCAGGGATTCTGTCAAGGGTGCAGGTAGTATCATTCATGTGTGTGTCAGCTGAAAACAGGTTAAGAACCATTGAAGATGTAAATTCCAATAAGAAGAAATATATACTCTGGGGTGAAATGACTGGATTTGTATCTTGAGTCTTCTGTTTATTTCTATGATCTTATTTAACTACTGTATCCCTGGATTTTCTTATTTGTAAAACAGGGATGTTTTTCATATTGGTAAAATCAGGTTGCTAAAAATACATTATCTAGTGGCTATTAGGTGCACAGAAACAATGTCTTGTAAATGCTAAGTACTCAATAAATGTCAGTAAAACTTTATACAACTTCAAGTATTGTAAACAGTATCTATAGCCTTTAATATTGGTAACTATTGTATAGCATATCATGGACCTGGTTAAATAAATATGCTGCTTTTAATAAACATTATCAAGCATATACTTAATTTTTCTTGCCTTCTTGAAATTTAGAGAGATTGTTTATGAATAACTTGGATGATCCATGCTTCTTTTTTAAACTTCCCAGAGAAGTATAAATTAATGCCTTTTTTTCTTCTTGAGAAATATTCTTATAGCAAATCTAGGTATTCATTTTTATAAAATAGCAAAACTAGTATATTGCTATGGAAAAAATTAGATAAAATTTCCAGTCTTAAGGTCTTCCCAACCTCTTAGAGGCTAGGGTTCTGGCTGTTAATTTACTGTGGCTTGGGGTACTGGATTTTCTTGTATCTTGATGTCTATTCATGTAGCTAGCTCCTTTTCTTGGTTCTTCCCAGCAAGATTCCCTGCTCACTCAACTCCTCAGAAGCTTCTCTTGACTTAAACCATATTCATTAGACAAGAGTGAGTGGGTAGAACTACACAAGGCCAATGTAAAACTGTGATTCCTTCTTTCTGATATCAAGAAGCCTTCATCTGTCACAATCATGTTCTTGGTTCTAAAGGCTTCTGAAACAAGCCCGCCTTCCCTACCAGCTGACCCATAAGTCACAAAATACAGAGGTCAGTGTTTCTACTTCTTCCCCACAGGTCCCTGGGGAGGGCCTCTTTGTCTGAATGTTTCTAAAATAATGGCCCAAGATCCTTGCACAGAGGTTGTCGTGGATTGAATTATGTCCCCCAAAAAATGTGTGTGTCAATTTGGCCGGGCCATGATTCCTGGTATTCTGTGGTTTTCCTATAAATTGTAAACCCTGCCTCTATGATGTTAATGAGGGAGGATGGGCGGCAGTTGTGTTAGTAAGGCTGGACTCAGTCTACAAGACTGGATTGTATTCTGAGGCAATGTCTTGAGATATAAAAGACAGAAGTGAGCAGTGAGACGGGGGATCTCATACCATCAAGAAAGCAGTGCCTGGAGCAGAGCACGTCCTTTGGACCGGGGTCCCTGTGCCGAGAAGCTCTTAGTCTGGGGGAACACTGATGAGAAGGTCGACAGAGAGAGAAAGCCTTCCCCTGGAGCTGATGCCCTGAATTTGGACTTTTAGCCTACTTTACTGTGAAGAAATAAATTTCTCTTTGTGAAAGCCATCCACTTGTGGTATTTCTGTTGTAGCAGCACTAGACGACTAAGACAGAGGTCATCACTGAAGGAGGTTAGAGCTAAATTGAGTCTGAGAAAAGATGGACTTTCCATTCTACAATGCACATATTTCTTCCACAAAGTTTCGTATCAGTTAGGACAATCATGGCTCAAAAGGGCTGATAAGGTATCAACCACACCTGCCTGTTTGCTGCCTTTCCCTCCCTGTTTTCATAAATGAGTGTCCTTCCTGGCTTAGAGTCATAGACTGTTCTGAAGGTATACATCTCTTGAAACTAGCTATTAAGTCAGGCAGGTTTAATTTGGATTCCTAAAAATGTAGTTTCTGAGAAAAAAAATTTATATCATAAAGATTATGTTAATTGTATGTTCTGAACAACATAGAACACTCCTACTTTGAGGCCTTGCCAAATATTTGGACATATGTCATTATTTGAAAATAACATGTGTTACTAACAGAATATTTATCTTTATATTTGAAAGATATGGCATAATCCACGCTGGTGGGGTAGGGAAATATCTCAGTGACTGGATCCTACATGGAGAACCTCCTTTTGATCTGATAGAATTGGATCCCAATCGCTATGGAAAATGGACAACAACCCAGTACACTGAAGCCAAAGCAAGGGAGTCATATGGATTCAACAATATTGGTAAAGTGCAAATTCACCATTGTCTAAAAGTGTTTACAGAATTGATTTGTAATACCTCTGATTTAAAAAAACCAAACTCATTGCCATCAAGTCGGTTCTGACCCGTATCGACCCTAGAGGACAGGGTAGAACTGCCCCATAGGGTTTCCAAGGAGGGGCTAGTGGATTTGAACTGCTGAACTTTTGGTTAGCAGCCGTATCACTTAACCTCTACACCACCAGACCTCTGATTTTGATGCTCTTTATTCTGTTTGTTGTGGGAGGGGTTGTTAGGGATTCTAAAAGGCATTGCACCTCTGAGACTCAAGGAGGAATATATATGAATATGTATATTTAACATGTGGAGTTCATCACTGATTTTAAATAGTTTTGCTTTACCCTCAGTATAAATGACGGCTTTGTCTTTTACATAAATTTAACACATGTCACTATGCTTCTGGAATTTACATAGTGTTTTTTTTTTTCATTTTCTGAATACTTCCAAAGCGTTTTGATTCTATGCTATTGAGAGTGCCAATTATCTGTTTCAGTTGGTTATCCTAAAGAAGAGCGGTTTGCAGGGAGGCCGACTCAGCGTATCAGTGGGCTCTATAGTACCCTGGAGTCTAAGTGTTCCATGGGGTTCCATGCGGGCTGGGAGCAGCCACACTGGTTCTACAAACCTGGGCAAGATACTCAGTACAAGTAAGTGAAGGACTTAACTTGGCCTGTGGTTCTGATTGTAGAGTAAAAGTACTGAAGTGAAGTGAAGGAAAGTCAGAGAAGTTTGATTTTCCCCCTCACTTCATCATTCCACCTCATTATAAGGAACATTGAAGCTTTGCTATGGAAATTCTTTTCTGACAGTGGAGACATAAGTCTAGTCCACCTGACATTTGCTCACCTGTAGGATACCTCCCCGCTCCCACTCTCCCCTGGTATTCCTGCATGATCTGAGAGTTCTACAACCAGCCCCAGTGAATCTTCTTCACTGTGGCATTTACCAGAAGCTGAGGAGCCGTCCCTACCCCATCCAAATCCCCACACGGCCTCTAAAGGTCCACCTTCGTTTAGGATGCTTGGTTGAATCACATAGTATACAACCACAGAATGAAAAGTGCCTGTCTGGATTTTTTCAGTTTTCTATTTATCATGGAAAAGCTCAGAGTGACTACTTTCTAGTCTGTGTGCACTGGTTATGCAAATTATATGCACAGTTGATAAATTAGAGGAAAGATCATTTACTTAGCATCTCAGGTTAAGCAAAAGCATAAAACATCCCACTAAAACAATTCTCTGAATTCCTCTAAACTGCTACATTCTGTTGTGCCTGGGATTTATAAAAACCAAACCAAACCTGTTGCCAGCAAATTGATTCCAACTCCTAGCAACCAATAGTGATTATATTTTTTTTTCATATGGGAATCTATAAACCAAGAGAAAACAAATAGCTAATCTAGAAATTAAGTTACCTTTTTTGAGCTGTCATTTTGATTATTTAATTAGGTTTTGATTTCTACTTGAGACCAAGTCTAAATGGTTCAAAGAACAGTAGAGGGCCAGTTGTTGATTAATAAATTTAGGCTGTATAGGCAGTCAACCTAGGTTTTTTTGTTGGCAAAATATTGGCTTGTTTTTTCTAAACGACTCAGATAAATTCCAGATCTATTCTTCACCTTGTGCTATGTGGATCTGGCGTAAGTTTCTTCTACCATTTTAATAATTAAACTGTAGGAAACTCATTTTGCAGACTTAGTATTCTCTGAAGTTAAAATACCACATTAGGAGGCCAGTTTGTAAGGCAGAAAGGACCTTTGTTAGAGGCTCAGCTCTGTAATTAATTAATGCAAAGGCTTTGGCAAGTCACTTTGTGTCTTTTCTCTGAATAATGAAGATGTTGGACCAGATCTTTGCTTACTCCAAGTGTGAACTAGCAGCATCGACATCATCTGGGAGCTTGTTTCTAGGCAGACTAGCAGGCCCCACCTGAGACCTACTGAATCAGAACCTGCATTTGAACAAGTGAAAATGGTTTATATGGGCATTAAAGCTTGAAAAACACTGGGCTAGATAAGTGCTTCACAATCCTGACTGCATACTAGTATCACCTGAGGAGCTCCACCCTCCAGATATTGTGACTGAATTAGTCTACCAGTGGGAGAAAGATGTGGCAGTCTGCTTCTGTAAAGATTACAGCCTTGGAAACCCTGTGGGGCAGTTGTACTCTGTCCTGAAGGGTTGCTGTGAGTCGCAATCGACTCAACAGCAACAGGTAGAAGCCTAGCCATTGGTATTTTTAAAAAACACTCCCCAGGAATTCTAGTACGTAACCAGGGTTGAAAATCACCAGACTGGATAACTTCTAAGTTCCCTCCCAGATCTGAGAGCCCAGGTGTTCTATCTTATTTTCTGGTTAATTAATACTTTATTCACTATGATACGGGTCAAAGGGATAGACGGAGTAGCTTAAAAGGCTAGGTTCCACTATATACAAATGATTTGCAGGACAGAATTTTAGGTTGCGTGTTGTTTTTCCAAATAGGAGTTTCTAGATGAACAGAGCTATTTAAACGTTTTTATTCTATAATTTTCTAAAAATGAATGGCAGTTTTTTAAAATGACATTGGACGTTGTGTTCCAGGCCAAGTTTTTGCCGCACAAACTGGTTTGAGCCTGTAGGCTCTGAGTATAAACAGGTTATGCAAAGAGTCGGGGTAATTGACCTGTCACCCTTTGGCAAGTTTAACATCAAAGGCCAAGACTCCATGAAACTGTTGGACTATCTATTTGCAAATGTTGTTCCAAAGGTAAATAACCTTGTAGGGAGACAAGGTCCAGGATTCTGGCCTATTTAATTCTCAATTCTCTCGTTAAAAAAAAAAAAAAAATCAATGTTTTAGTCTGCTTAATGATTTCTATATGAACATTAGAATTTCTCTTTAACTGGCCAATAGCTGATTTTTAAATTTAAATTTTTGTTGAGTTAATTATCATCTAAGGGCCTTACAACTTTGCTTAATTATGTCAATGGAAACTTAAAACTATCTACAATTAAATGATCCTTTAAATTGAAAACTTCAAAATTAATCTTGAGTTTAGGTATAGTAGATTTACAGATAATTAATACAACTGATATAAATGATAAGATTCAGATGCTTTTCATTTTTATTTACATGTTATATTAAAAGGATCCATAAGATATCCATTTCATCCTGAGGTAATTTTAAATTTATTCGTACAGGTGGGTTTTACAAATATAAGTCACATGTTAACACCGAAAGGTCGAGTGTATGCTGAGTTGACTGTTTCTCACCAGTCTCCTGGGGAGTTTCTGTTAATAACTGGTTCTGGATCAGAACTTCATGATCTTAGGTAAGCACTCATCTAATATAAAATTTTGTATATATTACATATTGACTCAATCTTACATGGAGTTTCTCTTTTGTAAGTCCTTAGAAGTACAACCTTTATTCTTAAACCTTATCATTTCAAATAAACTTCATGTCTTTTATCGGAAAACATTTGAAGTGAGGGTCCTCCCTGCCCAAAAAAGTAATCCACCCATAGAGTTTACTGCCCTAATAATATTAAACTCCCATTTATTAAGCATCATCAATGTGCCAGAACCCTGTTTACACCTTATCTCAATTAATTTTCTTGATATTTTTCAATATTATTAACATTATTCCCATTTTCAGTTAAGGAAACTGAGGTTGAAGTAACTTGCTCTGTCCAGTGTTTTTGATTCTGATGTCTACCTTCGGTCTACTTAGTAAGCTGCCTTCCTGAGTTAGCTTCTCCCTTTGTGATGCTTTCTGGTCTCTGGCCCACAGCTGTATCTAAATCACTGATTTACCAAGCTGAACCTTTGCATGGTCTTAGTATACAAATATTTGGAATATCATTAATGTTTAATAAACGTCTTAATCTGACAGATCCTCACCCTAGTTATAAAATGATTCAAATTACATGTTCCAATCCAAGATGTACTGGGGGCCACCTTAGTAGTTTAGCTTTGTGTAAGCCCAGGTGAACATTTTATGATAGTCCTGAGTAGCACCAAGAATTGCTCAATAAATTATAAACCAACCCTGTAGGTGGCTTCCAATAACTCAACAAGACTTAGAAATTCAAACTAGTCTTTAGAGTTTTTATCATTTCCTTATGATTGAGAAAGCAGTTGTATCTGGTGGCAGGTACATTATTAACCTTTAGGAGTGCAAGCATGCCTCCTGTGTGCAGGTATTAGAGAAAATTGGGGTTTAAATTAATTTTTGAAGATTGAGTCATTAGTTTAAATGCAAAGGCTGTCACCATTTAAAAGGATTGTGAGGTAGAGCTCATTTAAATTGAAGGATCCTTTGTACTATGAAAAATTACTTCCATATTTATAGTGAATGTTTTAAAGAAAATCACTTAACACATCAGGGACTCAGTTTCCTTAACTTTAAAAATTAGGTGGTTATATAAAATGACATTCTAAGGACTTTTCTGTAATTCTAGACACAGAACATATCTTCAGTGAAATAATACGTTACCAAAATCATTATTCAAGCAAGATTTAACACAATGTTTATGACTCAAATGCAGATGGATTGAAGAAGAGGCAATAAAAGGTGGATATGATGTTGAAATTAGAAACATAACCGATGAGCTTGGAGTCCTTGGGATTGCAGGGCCACAAGCAAGAAAGGTCCTTCAGAAACTCACCTCTGAAGATCTTAGTGATGATGTTTTCAAGTTTCTTCAAACCAAGTCCTTAAAGGTTTCCAACATTCCTGTCACTGCTATTAGGATATCTTATACTGGTAAGTGAATTGACCCAGCGGCTGCAACAATGGGCTCAAACATAGCAACAATTGTGGGGTGGGTGTAGGATTGGGCAGTGTTTCATTCTGTTGTACGTGGGGTCACTATGAGTTGGAACTGACTTGACAGAACCTAACAACAACAGCCTTCTGGTAAGAATTGGGAAACAACCTAGAGTAGGTCTTTAAAATCTAAAAGAAGCTGCCAGAAATATACACACACACGCATTCACTTTATCAGTGTACTCTGAAGGAAGATTTCTTCTGCACAATTTTTATGGCAATCTTGTCTATTCACTTCTAATCTGTGAGAGTGGTTCCACAAATTTCCAGCTGTTGGTCCATTTCCATACTTGCCCATTATTTGAAAGGGTAGACAAGAAAGTGGGCTGTTGGAATAGTTAGAGGGTTGACACAATATTCAGGTCAGCAGACTCTACCTGGGAACATTCAAGATGGCCTCCCATAGCACTTTATCAGCACCTTTCTTAGAACATTACCACTATCCATCTTCCCTTCAACACCATAAATTCATTAGGGAAGTCTTCATATATTGTCTAACCTTCCACATAATAGGTATTTGATGCAGAAATGAATGAATGCTCTTCAGCTCCCCATTGGTGCTCTAGGGCCCACTTCTAATCTCCTCTAGACCTCCTTGTCCCTTTATAGAAGGAGTACTTGGTGCCTGAGCATCCATTCAACAATTCCATGTTGCCCATGTTCTGGTGGTATCCTGGAAAAGCACGTTAATATCGGCCCTCAGTGTTGGGGAGCAAAAACAACACATAGTATTAAAGGCCATAGCTCTTCCCTGGGCTATCATTCTACCATTTCCCCTACCCTTTCCCTACCAAATCCCAGCAAAGTGCTGTCCAGAATGAAAAATGAGCAGGACTGTTTGGGTTGAGTTTCATTTCCTTTGATTGTTGCCCAGAGCTCTAATGCGAGTGAAATGACTAGTGGGAAAGAAATAGGGAATGGGAGGAGTCACAGATTATGGATGTCCCACAATGAAGATAATTTGCATAATTGTCAGTTGACTAAGGAGTCCTGGTGGTGGTGGTTAAAGCACTTGGCTGCTAACCGAAAGCTTGGCCGTTGGAATCCATGAGCCGTTCGGTGGGAGAAGGATGTGGGAGTCTGCTTCCGTAAAGATTTACAGCCTTGGAAACCCTATGGGGCAGTTCTACTCTGTCCTATAGGGTTGATAGCCAGAATTGACTCGACAGCGGTGGGTTTGGTTTTTAGGTCAGTTGGCTATATTTTCAAACCTTGTGATTCTTAGGCAAGGCGGTGAGGGTTGGGGTGTCTAAACCTTGAACCCATTATCCCATTATCTTGATAAACTATACCATGCTAATTATGCACCTGACGTTGTTGTCCCTAAAAATATAGTAAGCCTCATGAAGCTGCGTTCAAGGCTGGGGATTAACTCCTGCATTACAGTTTTTATGCATCATTAGAAAGGGTGTCCTACATACATACCGCTCTGTATGAGACTCAGGATTGGGCATAAATGCATCTATGATACAATAGTGGGATTTTGTTGCAACTTTTTGTGAACTGGTCTTTTAAAAACTAGCAATGTCTATGTTGCATAAATGGAATCTCTCCTGCTTTTATGTATTTTAGCTAATGCATTTTAGATCTAGTGATCACTGTTCTTACTTTGGTGTGGCACCTTTGGGTTTATTTCAGGAGAGTTGGGTTGGGAGCTGTACCACAGACGAGAAGATTCTGCAGCGCTTTATGACGTTATCATGAATGCAGGCCAGGAGGAGGGAATTGACAATTTTGGAACCTATGCCATGAATGCCTTAAGACTGGAGAAAGCGTTTAGAGCCTGGGGGTCAGAGGTTTGAAATGCTAGTGTCTTAATTAAAATTTTATGGCTATTGTATCTAGTTTTCATAAGGGCTAGTTTTAACTGCATTAATGTTGACTCTGGCTATAGGAGTTATGTATTATTAGATAACTTTATTTAATGGAGGGAAGTGGTTTTTCTCCTTATTTTCTCTGTTGAAAGTTCAGTGAAATTCTCACATAATGTTTATTCTGCTTTAATTCTTTCTGCTTGGCAAAGAGCCCTGGACAGCTGTCTCTGTGGGCTTGAAGCGGGGAGCCTGCCTACCCCACGTGACTGAGGACCACCTTTCAAATTCTCTCCTCCTCTGTCATGTAGCTACCCTCATTTTCTTCTTATCTTGCACCTTTTGGGGAAGTAACAACTAAGATGTCTTTCTGAGGGGCAGAGATGGTGGCCTTGGATATGTTGGTCTAACCTTCTTCCGTTATTAATAATTAATATTAGTAACTAAGAGTTTCTATTTTTATAGTGCTTTACTGTTTACACAGCACTTTCATGTGTGTGATATCCTTTACCCTTTCAACTCTCCCAAGAAGATAGTTATCATTATCCCTATTTTACACACGATCACGCTAAGATTCAGTGAATGGCTTCATCCAGATTACACAGTAAATGGCCAAACTGTGGTTCAAACCCTGTTTTCCTATTTTTTCTCCAATGTGCCAGGCTAGCTCTGGACCCATTACTTTTTCCATTTCACTAGTTGTTGGAAGTCATTGAGGCTTTAGACCTGAGAGCTGAGGTAAGGAATAGTGGGAAAGTATGGAGTTCAGAGTAGGGACTCTTGGGTTTGAATTTATCCTCCACCACATACTAGCTATGTGGCCTTAATCCTCCAGAACTTTTGTTTCCTTTTCTATAAAATGGAGATAATAATATTTGTCCTACATAGTTATCATAGATGTTAGAGAGAGTCTATAAACCAAAAACAACCAAGCCTGTTGCCGTCAAGTCGATTTGACTTATAGTGACCCTATAGGACAGGGTAGAACTGCCCCATAGGGTTTCCAAGGAGCAGCTGGTAGATTCAAACCACTGATCTTTGGGTTAGCAGCCGTAGTTCCCTATAGCTCTTAACCACGGTGTCACCAGGGCTCCAGTCTATAAAGTACCTGGCATATAATAGAATGCATTTAATTGGCACCTGGGAGGGCAAACTAGGTTTGAAAGCTCAGACAGGGCCCCTCAGGCATTTAGCCTATGGACAGAAACAAGTGAGAGGGCTTTGAGATAGAGAGGGCAGCCTACTGGGGTCATTGAAAGAAGGAGGGCCCTGGGCAAGTTTATTCATCTATAGGACACATGCTCTTTTAGGGATTCTCAATGTACAGGTGGGACCGTAGATGAGGCCTGCTTTAGGTGCATATAAATTAAAAGCTGTTTTTACATCCTATGGAAATATATGAACACATGCATATGAACCTTTTTAATGCCCTTGCATCAGTTCCCAAGTTCTGAGCTAAGATACTAACATAAAACATGGGGCATTGGTGGTTCACCTTCCATGGTGGGAGAGCCAAGTTCGATTCCCGGCCAATGCACCTCATTGTAGCCAACACCCATCTGTCAGTGGAGGCTTGTGTGTTGCTGTGATGTTGAACAGGTTTCTGCAGAGCTTCCAGACTAAGATGGAGTAGGAAGAAAGGCAGCATTTCTTTCTATTGTGTATGAGGTCACCGTGAAGTGGGGGCTAATTGATGGCAACTAACAACAACAACAACAGAAGGGTTTGACAGGGACTGTCTTTCTGTACATTTTTCCAGGGCTTTTATTGTTATGATTAAAAAATAAATTAAAATAGAGGACAATCTGTCCCCTCACTCCCCAAGGACTGAAGCAGCAGACGGAGTCCCTTGGGAGTTAGGCATTTCTCCATCCTCCTGCCTTCTGTTTTTCTCTTGCTTCCTCTTCTTGTGCCCTCCTCTTGAGAGCATTTCTTCTGAGTTCCCTCCGATTTCCCAGCAGTGCCAGAGGGCCCTCTAGTGTTATTACAGCAATCAATCTTCTGTGCTTTGTTTTTTTTTTTCCCGGAGAAATTTTGAAACTCTGATCGGATAAAAAAATAATTTTAGACTAGCTCATATTAAGAAATACGAGACCAAACTTATATCATGTAAAAATAAATTTATACTACTCATCTGGTTTATGAAGGTGCTGTGTTGTCTTTAAAAGTTTTAGTATTTTTTTTTTTTTATGGAGTTTAGACCAGTTCTCCAAATTCTTAATTGGCGCACAATAGAGCACCAACAAAAAATGAACAGTTACCACCCTTCAGGTCTGTTCCCATATATTGGCTTTAGCTCTGACTTGAAGTATATCTTAATGACTCGACTGTGTTTGAAAAGGTTGAGATTATATCTCTTTTTTTTCCTTTCCTGGACTCTATAGAAACCATTTTCCTACCATCTGCTTTTCTCCCTACTTATCCTGATTCTTGGCTAATTGTAAGATAAGTCAATTACTTAGTAACTTTAAAAATCTATTTATGTAAACTTATTACATTAAAACATATGACAGTCTTGTTTCTGGAAGAAAGATCATGTTGTGATATCCTTCCGATGTTTATGAAAACAAAAGACCCATGGAAACAAACCAAATTTTAGTTTCCATATTGGCTGTATTCAAATGACGGTATTTGTTAAAAGGTTACTGTTGAATTTTAGATGAAAAAGAATTATTTTAAAGATTAGTCCAGAATTTTATTTTTTCAGAATCTATGTGCAAAATAAAAAAAAGAGTTCTCTTCCCTCAAAAAATAATATATGAAAGTGGTGTTACTGAAATTATTTGCACTCATTTAAGATTTAAAATGTGTATTTCTCTTTTAGATGAACTGTGATACAAATCCCTTGGAAGCTGGACTGGAATATTTTGTAAAGTTAAATAAGGTATGTTTACATTCCAAAGTGTACTTGAAGTAAATCTTAAAATTAGGATGCTATTTCATAACAGAGCCATGCTTTAAAGTTTCTTTTTTTTCTTAAACCAAGTGTGATTATAGGAAAAGTGAGTTGAATATAAATATTAAATGTCACTCGATTGCTTCATACTAATCTTTCGTTAAAATTTGATGTCAGTTCCAACTATTGCAGTATGCTTACGATGTAAGATAGCAGAGTCTAGCGTCTTTAAAGACTAACTCTAAATTCTAAGATAAAAATTCGTAAGAACAAGATAATTAGCAGTTATAATTCAGCTGACATTCTTATAGGAATTGTACCAAGTTGGTCGTATGTTACTGTAACTCCTGGAGACATGTGAATTTTTTTTTCCTCTTTTTTTTTGTATTTATTGTTTTAGTTAAATGAAGTTTACATTACAAGTTAGTCTCCCATACAAAATTTTATACATACATTGTTATGTGACCCTAATTTCTCACCCCATTCTGTGACAGCACACTCCTCCTTTCTGCTGCTGATTCCCCATGACCATTCAACCAGCTCCTAACCCTCTCTGCCTTCCCATCTCACCTCTGGACAGAAGCTGCCCCTTTGGTCTCTTGTATCTACTTGACTAAGAGGCACACTCTTCGTGAGTATCACTTTATGTCCCACAGTCCAGTCCAATCCCTGTCTGAAGAGTTGGCCTCGGAAATTGTTTTAGTTCTGGGCTGACAGAGACCATGCTTTCCAAGGTTCTTCCAGTCTCAGTCAGACCATTAAGTCTGGTCTTCTTACTAGAATTTGAGTTCTGCATCCCATCCTTCTGCTGCTCCATCAGGGACTCTCTGTTGTGTTCCCTGTCAGGACGTTCATTGGTGGTAGCTGGGCACCATCTAGTTCTTCTGGTCTAAGGCTGATGAAGTCTCTGGTTTATGTGGCCCATTCCGTCTCTTGGGCTAATACTTTACTTGTGTCTTTGGTGTTCTTCCTTCTCCTTTACTCCAAGTGGTTGGGACCAATTGATGCATCTTAGATGGCCACTTGCAAGCTTTTAAGACCCCAGACACCACTCCCCAAAGTAGGATGCAGAACATTTTCTTAATAAGCTTTGTTATGCCAATTGACCTAGATGTCCCCTGAAAGCATGGTCCCCAGACCCCTACCCCTGCTAATCTGTCTCTCAAAGTATTTGATTGTATTCAGGAAACTTCCTAGCTTTGGTTTAGTCCAGTTGTGCTGACTTCCTCTGTAGTGTGTGCTGTCCTTCCCTTTGCCTAAGATGATTCTTATCTACTATCTAGTTAGTGAATAACCCTCACCCTCCCTCTCCACCCTCATAACCATCAAAGAATGTTTTCTTCTGTGTTTAAACCTTTTCATGAGTTCTTATAATAGTGGTCTTATGCAGTATTTGTCCTTCTGTGACTGACTAAATTCACTCATCATGAGACATGTGAATTTGTATACCCGTTAATCAAACAGACTGCATTCATTGTCTCTCCCTAGTTGCCTCACAGCATGAAGCAGCCTTGCCTCAGCAGATCCATCCATCTGCTTATGAAGCATCTTTGTATGTAACTACAACATCTGAGTGTGAGCAAATGACACGTTTCAAATGTGTTCAGCATGAAATGGGTATTTACTGAGGAGCCAGTGCAGGCCCAAAGAATCATAAATGATATTAACAGCACAAAGGGAAATGCTACTTCAGTGATTCTCAGAGTGTGGTCCTCAGACAGGAAGAGTCAGCATTATCTGGGAGCTTGTTAGAAACTCAAATTCTCCGGCCCCACCCTACACCTATTAAGTCAGAATCTCTGAAGTCAGACCAAGAAATCTGTGTTTTAACAAGCCCTGCAGGGGATTCTGATGCACCTAAAGTTTGAGAAGCTCTGCTCTCCATGATTATGATGGAAAAGCATATTATGAGGCCAACTTATGACAAATATAAATGAGGTTATCCCATTGAGCAAGTGCCATAGAATTATTGTAAAAGGACTTAATAAATAGAGTTGCAGTTAGTGGTAGTATTGAAAGATTAGGACAGTAGCTGCTGCTTAGGGTACTTGTTGTTAGTGCCAGGTGCCGGCCCCCACTCATCGTGATCCCGAGAACAACAGAATGAAACACTGCCTGGCCCTGCATGGACTGTTGTGATCTAGAGTTTTCACTGGCTGATTCTTGGAAGTAGATTACCAGGCCTTTCTTCTTAGGTTGTCTTAGTCTGGATCTCTGCTGAAACCTGTTCAGCATCACATCAGCAACATGCAAGCCTCCACTAACGGACAGGTGGTGGTTGCACACGAGGTACATTGGCCTGGAATAGAACTCAGGCCTTCCACATGGAAGGCATGAATTCTACCACTGAACCACCAATGCCCTCTAGGGTACTTGTTAGAATTCCAAATATAAACTGTCCTGCCCTATGTGATTATAAGCTAAAGGTTGTTTTCCAAACCTATGGAAATAGGTGAACACATGCATATGAATCAGTCTAAGAAACCTTTTTTTTTTTTTTTTGATTTTTATGCCCGTGCATCAGTTCTCAAATTCTGAGATAAGATATTAACATAAAACATGTACGTTTATATTATTAGATTTTAGGAAAATGAATCTCCTAAAGGGCTTTAAAGGGAGTATGTTTCTGTACATTTTTCCATGGCTTTTATTTTTATGGTATACCATCTGCCCCCAGACCAGAGAAAGCAGGTGCCTGGTATTCGGGCAGACCCTAGCAGCAGATTGCTCCTTCTGATAACTGAAGTCTTAGTTTAGCTGTTTAAAATAAGGATAAAAATGGCCTGACTCCTGAAAGCACTGAAGTTATGTTGTTGGTCACCAATAGGTAGGTATAATAGATAATTGATTGTTTTGCTTCAGTATTTGAATATTATTGTTTGGGGATAAGGCATGGATAAATGATCTCTTCATATTAAAATTGGATTTTAAAAACTCCCTTTATGATTATAAGCAGGTGTGGATTGTGTATTTATTAGTGCTTTCAAATTATTTTAACAACCAAAACTCAGCTCAAGAACTTACTGAGTTGCTTAATAAATAATAATTTTGATTTGTGGTATGTTTTTATGATTTCTGAATTGTTGGTTCTCATTCTGGTGTCACTGAGTTAATACCTAATGATTTCATTGGGTGAAGATCCATGTGGCCCAAGGGCCGGGACCTAGCTGAGCCAGTGTTTTTCAATTATATTGATTCAGGTGGTTATTTGGTATCAACCTAACCGTGGTGATGCTTATTACTTTCCAAGACAGGTGACTAGATCGAAATCAACTTTATTTGAATCCTATTTGGTGGTTTTGCAGCAACTTTATCTTGGTTCCTGAAAAACTTAACGAATGTTTCAAACGAAACTATGCAACTTGATAATTCAAGTCCTGTGCCTGAAAATCAAAATGTCACCCAAAGTGGCTTCATACAACATTAAAGAATAATATAATACAAGTTCATACTGCTTCAGAAAATTGATGCTATATAAAAACAGAAGCAGAAGGGACACTGATATTCGATACTAAAACCAACCCTGTTGCCTTTGATTCAATTCTAACTCATGGTGACCCCATTTGTTACTGAGTAGAACTGTTCCGTAGAGTCTTCTTGGCTGTAATCTTTACGGAAGCAGATTGCTAGGCCTTTTCTTCCATGGTGCTGCTGAGTGGGTTTGAACTGCCAACCTTTAGGTTGGTAGTCACATGCAAACCGTTTGCACCACTCGGGGAACTTTATATTCAATACCTCCCCACAACAACAACAACAAAAATCTGGCATTTTACAGTTGTTTAAAATCATTTATTTTCTGTCCCTCAAAGCAAACATGTAAAATTCTCTTCTTGGCCCTTAAGGATTTTAGCACAATTGATTGTGTAAACCATAATATGAAGAAAAGGTATAGAGATGCAGACTGTGTCAGAGCTAGTGGAGTCGCTGGAGATCACTCAGTACAACCTCCTTGTTTTGAAGGTGAGAAAATCAAAGCACGGAGGGGTCAGGTGACTTAGGTTCAGTCATTTGCTTTAGGCACAGGTTGAATGCTGACCTCTGACCTCTGTTGTAGTGCTTTCTCACCCACCACTTCCCAACAGGACCTTTCCCATAATGGGCGTATAAACCTTGAAAAACTGCCCAGGAATTCTTTTTTTTTTTTATATTTTTGGCAACATATATTATAGAATTTGAATGGGATACATCTCATCAATTGATACCTCCATAGTCATGTTTTTGTTATAACTAATTTTGTGTTTTATGGTAGGATCAGAATACCTGCCCTGCCCATTTTAAGAAGAAAAATACTCATTTTCTTCGTAAAATGAGGAAACGGGCTGTGAGGCCTCCTTAGGGTGAATGTGTTCCTATTAAGCTAGCATGAAAGTAGGGAGAAGAGAAATGGAGTTTTGAAGAGATCTTAGATCACAAAGGAGGATGGTCCAATGGTGCTTACCTTCCTTATCCTTTAGAGTTGTTTGAGCCTCAGTCCCATGGGACTTTGAGGTATGTGAGGGGAATACAAACATGTGCACACATTCATTCATCTAGTAAACATTAAGCACCACTTACCAAACACCTTGCTAAGGCCACAGGTCTAAAGTTGATGATTCTCAGATCTCATGAAGCTTGAAACACCTGGCATTTCAGGAGTTAAAACTATAGAATAAATTCTTAGAGTTAGTTATATAAATAACCTTCCACCTGAGGAGTGCTGTCAAGCAGAGACAACCATACCATCTTGTGGAAAGTGAGCCAGTGGGGTCTGAAAGGAAGCATTTACCAAAACTGATACAAGTAAAAATAATTGAATGTACTTTTATCATCTCAAATAAAACTCCTTTACCCAAAGCTACTCGTATCACCATTGGAAATGGTATTATGATTTGTTACAAAGGAGGTTACTTTTTTGGAGAAAAAATCAGTTGTGTTTCTTTTAGTTGGAAATGGAAGAAATGCATTAATTAAGAGCAAAAGGAAAATCGGCTACCTTAGAACAGAGTCAT